CTAGTCTTCACGCAGGCAGCGACAGACTAGTCCCAATGACAAGTTATACATTAGCAATCGGAGGGAGATACAACGCTATGGTCACTCACCTAGTCCCAATGACCAAGAGGTCGAGATGGGGACTAGGGAGTGCCTAAGGGGGTCCGTTATATACTAGAAGGGCTGCTTAGCAACCAAAGACAAGGCGCGAGAGCGAGGCAGTGAAGATGACAAAGGGAGAACAAAGGGCGGGAAGGAAAAGGCAAAGGCATGGCGATCACGGGAACGTAGCATGCGGGTGTGGGAACGTATCTGCAGTGTCCAAACTGGGATGGGCTAAGAAAGGAAATGGTCCGAAAATGGAAGGTGGGCGTCAAGGGGAGGGGAATGGGCGGCAAAAAGGGGCGTCTGTCCAACGTCCGTGACACAAGACTGGATGCCAGTCGCGTACCTATCTCATGCCCTCTCGCCTGCGGAACGCAACTATCAGATCTACGACAAGGAGCTCCTCGCAGTGGTCCGCGCTTTCGAGACCTGGCAGCACTACCTTGAAGGATCCCCCCACGTCATCCAGGTCATCTCGGACCACAAGAACCTCACCTACTGGCGGTCCGCACAGAAGCTCACCCGACGCCAGGCCCGATGGAGTGCGTTCCTAGGCCAGTTTCACTTCGAAATCCACCATCATGCCGGGAAAACCTTGACCCAAGCCGACGCCCTGTCCCGCCGCCCCGACCATGTGAACGGAAAGCATGACAATGAGGACGTTGTCGTCTTAAATGACGGGGTGTTTATTCGAGCTGTCACTGATGATCTACTGCTGCGAATCAAGGACGCAACCCGGAAGGACACCAAGGTGGTACAGACCAGCGGACGGAGACGTCTAACCCTCGTCAAGCCACCTCCGTACGGCAAACCCGAAGACTGGAAGCTGGACGACGGTGTTGCCAAGTATCAGGGCAAGATCTACATCCCTCCGAATGAAGACCTGTGACGCGACATTGTCCAGATACATCACGACCCGGCAGTAATGGGCCACCCCGGACAGGACCAGAACATCGAACTCGTCTCACGCCAGTACAGTTGGGGCGGAATGGAAAACTTCATCCGCAAATTCGTTCAAGGATGCGCCATCTGCCAAGGATCCAAGGTTAACACCCACCCCGTGAAAGCTCCCGCCATGCCTATTCCCCACGCAGGAAACACACGACCGTTTTCGGTCATCACCATGGATCACATCACGGGCCTTCCAATGTCCAACGGATTCAACGCCATCCAAGTGGTAGTAGATCACGACACCACCAAGGGCGCGGTCATCACCCCTTGCACTATCAACGTCACCGCCTTGGAAGCAGCCGAACTACTGTTCCGAGATGTCTACAAACGGTTTGGAGCCCCTCAAAGGATCATATCCGACCGAGGACCCCAGTTTGCGTCCGGGGTTTTCCAAGAACTGCAACGACTCGTAGGAGTCAAGACTTCCCAATCCACGGCGTATCACCCTCAGACGGACGGACAGACAGAACGAGTCAACCAGGAAATCGACTTAGCCCTGCGCATCTACTGTCTCAATGACCCGGACAGCTGGTCGGACAAACTCCCTGCTTTCGAGTTCTGCCACAACCAACGCAAGCACTCCGTCACCGGCAAGTCTCTGTTCGAACTCATCATGGGCTACAACCCCGACGTATTCCCCAACTCCCTCTCTCCATCCACACACCCGAGCGCGGAAGAACGAATCCAGCAACTCCTCGAAGACCGAGCCAACGCGGAAGCCGCGCACAACCGAGCAGCGGAGATCATGGCCCGAAGGGCTGGAACCAAGCCAGTCACGTTCAAGAAAGGCGATAGGGTCCTCCTCGAATCGACCAACCTCAGACTCCCCTATCCCCACCGGAAGTTAGCCCCGAAAAGGGAAGGACCCTTCGAGATCGACGAGATCACTGGTCCAGTCACAGTTCGGCTGAAACTCCCTAAGGCCTGGAAGATCCATGACGTCTTCCATGTGAATCTACTCAAACCTTATCGAGTCACCAAGGAACACGGGCCAGACTACCCCAGACCGCCTCTGGAGACCGTAGAAGGCGAAGAAGAATGGGAAGTCGAGGCCATCTTGGCCCATCGGAAACGTGAGAAAGGCTATCAATACTTCGTCTCTTGGAAGGGCTGGCCTAGCAGCGAAAACTCGTGGGTTTCCGGGAAGGAGATGACTAATGCGCCGAAGCTCCTCACCAAGTACAAGAAGCAACAGCAACTCTAGGGAACGACCCCAACCCACTCCTCTCTCCTGCCAATCAACACCATGCCCCAACTCGCCTCTACCTACCGTGCTGTCCCCGAAGACGTCCCCACCCCCCAGTGGTTCCTCGACCACGACTTCCACCTCTCCTTCCTCCACCTACCCGGCAATGAAATTGCCGGATACGGCCAGACCTCCCAACGTCAATACATTGGGTGGCTCCTCCTCCAACCCAGCCCAGAATTGCGCAACGTCCTGGAATGGCGATTTCGGGACGCCCCGCCCGCCAGTCACGCCTGGGCCATCTACGGCGAGTCGGTCGTCACCCTCACCCACCTCCGGACCCTCGACTGGGACGTCGGCGAGATCACCGACCCATCTGGCCAACGACGGGCCTACGACACTGTCTCCCAGCTGCGGGCCACGACGATCGCCATGTCCGACCACGCTTTAGATATCGTTTGCGCCCCTCATCATCTTTTCCTCATCGCTGACCTCGTCAACCACATAGAGCAGGTTGACC